GGGAGGGAGGAGAGTGCGGCCCGCGGCGGAGCCCGGCCCGCGGTCTGTCCGTGGAGCGCGGTTTTACGGGCGATGGTGTTGCCCCGCCGGGCCTGCGCTCCGGGCCCGCGCCGTCGGCTCTGCACCTCCGGCGGGGTCTGCGGAACGCGAATGCACGAAGTCCAGGTGGGGACCGTTGTCGGGGGCAGAGCTGCTGACAGCAGTGGAGTTACAGCCGGGAGCTGGCATCAGAGGGGGAGACAGAAAAACGAAAAAACAAAAAACGAGCCCCCCAGCACACCCGTGCTTCTCTGTGTATTTCATCCCATCCGGACGAATAGACACGGAGAGTGAATGTTTCCCAGCTCTGACAGGTACATTTCGTGATCAGCCTGGGTCATGGCCCTGAGTGCAAAGGTCCTGGGTTTAGTCCCAGCACTGAAAAAAAGAAAAGTACCAAGGCGTGAGCTGATGTCTTTAGATCATTAAAAAGTATTCTGTTGGCCTAGCATCTTTTGTAATTTAGAAACGTATCAGAAAAGTAATGTATGGTATGTTGTTAAAATTATTTGAGAATCTACTCTGAAAACGTGGAAGAAAAAAAAAATCCAAGAAAAAAAGACACTGAGCTCAAGAAATAGCCCTGCCACAGAAGCAGGGAAGGAAAGACTCTCAGTGCGCTGGGCTGGGGGCACCAAGACCCAAAGATGCCAGGCTAGAAGGCCTTAAGAAGAGGAAAGGGATATGTTTTTAGAGACAAAATGCAAAGAATGTATTGATAAGATAAAACCGTGCTCTTTGTTTTGAAAAAAAAAACACCACCGAAAAACAACATAAAGGCAATCAAAATCTTGCAATAATACAGAATTAAGTAAGTTTTATATTTAAACTTTGTTCTGTAACCGTAATGAATCTAAAAAACAGTAATTCTGGTTCATTTAAAAAGTTGGAATTCCAGTAAACAGATTTTACAGTATTTTGTTACATAGAGAGTAATCACTGTACAATTCATTTGGTTAAGTTTGATTTCAAATTTAAATATTTGCCTTGTTCTGCTCCATCCCTGTGCCCGCCTTTCTAGAAACTGGTGACTTTATTTGTTGTTTAGATCTCTGGTTATTTCTTTTCCTTTATGGCTTTCTGTAATTTTTATTAATCAAATAAAAATCATCACTTGATCTTTTATGACTCTACCTTTTTTTTTTTCCATCCTTCTATTTTTGTCCTTTTCCCCTACCCCAAAATTTTCTCCTAACTTGTTTTGCATTTTGCTAATCTCAACTTTTTATTTTTGGGAGTGCTGGGGATTGAACCAGGGTCTCGTGCACGCTAGACAAGCACTTGACAACGGAGGTATTACCCGAAGGGTGCTAATTCCAATGTTAACTTCCAGTGATTATTTCTTAAATTTGCAATTGCTTCTTTCTCACAGCTGTCTGTTGCTCTTTTATAGATGCAGCTATCTTTTCTGAGTTTGAGAAAACTTAACTAGAATTAAAAAGCATTTTTTCAGTTCTCTGAGCTACCTCCCTTTTGCGCTGGGCCGTGTTCCACCTTTTCCTCCCTCGCTCCCCTCCTTCTTCCCATTTTGTGTTTTGGATTTCCAGGACTCTTGACCTTTTGCAGTCTTTCGAGGTTGTGGCTCTCAGTGAGAGCTAGTGGAGATTCTTTTGCAGTTACTTTGGCAGGGACCCTGGGGAGGAGTGGATTCTGCCCGACCTGCCTCCATGTTCTCAGAGTGTTGTGATCTGCTGCTTTGTCTATTAATAGTGTGTCATCCACTCTTTGTCTTGTAAGAATTAGCCAACTCTCTGTGCTCTTGCTCTCAGTGCTGTAATGGATTTTCTTTTTTGGGGCTTCTTTACAAATGTCGTGGAAATGAGATTTGGGGAAGGAAGATAAATGTGTATGCTCAGTCTCACACTGAATTTTAACTGTTTCTTACTCCTTATTCAGCTCTTGATTTTTTATATTCTGCTTTAAAGAGAACAAGAAAGACACTTGCTTTCTCTAGTACCTGCTGCCACGAGCCCCAGGCCTGCCCAAGGTGTGAGCTCCGCATTTCCATTTGCCCTGCTTTGTCAGGCTCCTGGCAGCTGTGCTGCTTTTCAAAAGAGGAGTCTCCTTCCTTCCTAGCACCGTCTGATGTGCTCTACGTACTTAATTTCTGTTTCCCTTTTTACTAGGAATAACTGGACTTCCTGTGCCTACATCTTTCTGCCAGTCGTATTTATGAGCTGCTTTTGCAGTGTCTTTTCCTTCTTAGCTTGGAGGACGGGAGAGCAGAGACGGAAAGGGGGGAAAAGGGAGAGGCTGGGTCTGTTCGAGACTGTTGAGTTTACCTGGTAAGCAAAGTGCAGTCCCCTTCTGCCTGAGGAGTGCGTCTTTCTCCAGGATCCACTCCCATCTTAGTGGACATTTCCACATTCAGTTGAACAGAACAGAGCAGGGTGGTAGAGCTGAGAACTATAATGCATGTTTTCTGCCTCCGGGGTCTTTCGGACTGGTTCAGGACATTGCACGTAGGGCACATAAACAACTAGTGATCAACTCATGACAATCAGGAGTTAAGTGGTATAATTAAATGTACAAGAGTTCTACTGCTGAACTTAGGAAAAGCTAGAGCTTGCGTTCGGCTTTAACAGAATTTAGGAGGAGAGAAGCCTGACAGTCTAAGGAATATAGAAGTTTGTAGGAGCCAAGATTTGGAGATAAAAGAAAGGGGAAGACTGTGACTAGAGACTCCTGAACTGGGGAGGCCAGGATCAAGTTGGAGATAGCTGGTCTCTCCTCGGTATGACTTTTCAACGAATTTTCTCTCATGTGTGTGGGCGTGCCAGAGGGGCAAAGGGATCATAGAAGTAATTCTTTGGTTCTGAACAAAAGTCAGGCTTCCACACTTGGTGACCTTGAACCCACAATACCACTCTGCCTTTTTTTTTTCTTGTAAAGTTAAAGAAAGTTGGAGAAGATTGAGAGAGAAGAGAGACTGTTAAGGGGAATCCCTAGTTTGAAGAAGTACAACCGTGGGGATTGTAATTGTGATTTCCCATTTAGGTCCTTGCCCACAGTCAGTATCAGAAGTCCAAAAGAATTTCCATCTTTCTGAGCATGCAAGATGAAATCGAGACAGAAGAGATCATCAAGGACATTTTCCAACAGGGCAAAACCTGTTTCATCCCTCGGTACCAGTTCCAGAGTAATCACATGGATATGGTGAAGTTAGCTTCGCCCGATGAAATTTCTTCACTTCCTAAAACATCCTGGAATATTCATCAGCCTGGTGAGGGTGATGTTCGTGAGGAGGCTTTGTCAACAGGTAAGTGTTTTCATGTTAGAACTGATGTTTCAGATGTTGTCAGGTTATGTTTTTGGACCTCTGGCCCACGTGTTATTTGGGGGTCAGGGGAATTTCTTTTCCTGTAGGGAAGAATTTGTATTTTGCTTATATTCCAAGATACCACATGACCTGGTTTAGGAGGCAGTATTCTCCCTAAGTTGTGAGCTGTAGACTGTAATAGTGAGTTATCAAGGTATTGTTGCCTTCTCACAGGCTCTTGTGTTAACCTTGTGGGTTGAATTACACATTTTCTCTGAGTGATTGCATTTCTCTTGTACACTTGTAATTTATATGCTTATGAGTATATATTTTAGTAATGTTAGTGAGGATTTATATCTCTAGGTCAGACTGCCTTCTAGCCGTATCTGCTTGGATGGCACGTGGCATCTCAAATACAGTGTGTTCCGCTGCACCACACGCCCCTCAGCCCCACTGCGGCGGACCATCTCAGCATGGCCACCAGCCAGCTGATGGTGGCAGAGATCCCAGGTCCCCCTCTGTTCTCCTCTCATCCGCAGACTGTCTGTGGCCAAGTCTAAGCTACCGCTGTTCTTGTGTGGGTTGTGGTGCCAGCTCTGTGTCCCTCTGGCCTTCTCTGGCATCCTTTCCTCCCTCTTAATCCATGATCTGCAGTCATTGAAGTGAGATTTCTAAAGTGCCAGTCTGCCTGCTTCTCCCCCATTTAAAGTCTTGCAGTGACTTCTGCTGTCCTTGGTGAGAGGAACGCCTGTTAAAGGGGCTCACTGGTGTTGGTCCTGTGAATCTTCTCTCCCTGGTGTGGGTCCTGCTTATCATCCTTGCTCACGCCTTGCTGCTGTCCCACACCAGCGGCTTTGAAGCTCTCTGTTCCTCAGTCCTCCTCTGCTTTCTCTACCATGGGATCTTTTTTTTTTTTTTTCTCTGGCCAACAGCTGGTTGGGAGATTTTTTTTTTTTTTTTTTTTTTTTACCATTATTAAGCAGCCAAAGAGCCCAAAACAGAATAAGCTAAGTCTACCATCTGGTTAACTTTCTTTTTTTTTTTTTTTTTGGTTTTGGTTTTTCTCCGGTACCGGGAACCGAACTCACGACCTTGCGCTTGCCAGGCAGGCGCTTTTTTGCCGCTGAGCTAAATCCCCAGCCCCCCATCTGGTAAAGTAATACCTCAAACTGTCTTGGAGGTACATATTTTGACCAAGACTTAAATGGTTGCAGAGAAACCCCGGCATAACTTTATGCAGTCTTCTCTCAATTTCTCGCCTTTGCAGTTCAACATCATAACCTATAAAATCCATGTGATGGGATGGAAAGGGATGACAGGATCAAAGACGCATCTGCTTTGCTGCCTCAACTTCCCGTATGTTTTCCAGTCCTGGAATTTGTATAATATTTAGGCATGAAAAGTACGTTCAGACCTGCCACCTTTCTGTCCTGTATCTGTAGACCTAATGAATGTCAACGTTATGAAGCTCCTATTTTTAGGAGGAAAGGCTGTGTTTTGATACAGTGAGACAATAAGGGAACGTTGCATATCTTGGGAGGTAGCCCAAGCCTAAAGATAAGGAAGTAAGGAGGTAGGTCTTGCCATGGCTTGCACATAATGGAGACACTTCGCTAGACTCTCTGGCTTTAGGGCAGAGGCCAGAGTATGTTCTGGGTTCTGGCTGACTTAGTATGAACACAAGCTTGCTGACTGAAATTCCACTTGATCTCCTCCAGAAACCAGCTCCCCCGTGGCAGCCTTTTCCCTTAAGAACAGTGATGCCCCCTCCCTCCTGTCTTCTCTGGGTGAAGCTCTGTGGTGTCACTGTCTCCCTTCACATGTTGCTCCAGTTTGGTTCAAGCCCAGCAGTGGGAAGAGCAGAGGAGCAGAACCTTAGCTGTGCTTCTTGGATGAGTTAAGCCCAGCTCAAGCCAGTGAGTGAAATCTCTGTGGTTTTAGCAAATCTCTTGGTGGGCAAGAGCATTCAGTAAGTAGTAACTACTATTTTTAAGCAAGGAAGGGAGAATTATTCATTTCATGATAAACTCTTTGCTAGCTGAGTATTTCATGTTTTGATAAATTGCCTCTAAGTGTACTGTATGACAGATACTATTTGAGGCCTGGGAAGACAAGATCCTAGTCTGCCAGGGACTTACACCTAGCTGGGGAGACGGAGAATGTGTGTTACTAGAATGAGCGTACCCGTCTGTGATACATGGCAAATGTAGGTGTCAAGGGAAAGCCCACTGAATATGAAAAACGTCGGAGTTCGAGGATTTGCTTTGAAAGAAGAAAAGTCCACTCCCAAACTGGCTGTTATTTTTCTCCTCTGTGGCGTGTATCCATGCTGTATTTGTGGTCGCAGTAGCTTTTTCCCTCCCGTGTTTTCTGGCACATACTTGCAGTCAGGGTTGTACAGGATAAGGGATTATGCTTTAGTTTCTTCACCTGCGTGCTGGGGGCCAGGTGCCAAATGTTGTTCACAGCAGTGTTTGCGGAAGCAGCTTGCTGTTTATCTCCTGGAATCAGTCTCTGCACAATAGATTTTTACTTACGTGCATCAGCAGCTTAGAATGTGACAGCTTCAGGGCTAAAGCATAAATCTTGCTTCACACTGTTTGAGACAAGCCGATCAGAGCTCAGATGGTCCTCAGTGAAGCCTTTGTAGTCTGTTTATCTTTCTGGTTTGCTAATGCTAGCTCAGCTTAGAAAAGAGTGACTTTTGGTGTCGTTGGTTGCAATTATAAGGTCCTAGGCAAGATTTTCCTATACATTATTCTTAATTTATGTTTGCAGAGAAATAAACCAATGGGTAAGTGAAATAGAGGGGGCTGTCTCTTCACTAAATTTGTCCTCAAAGTGAGGGTTGCATGGGAAATAAGATTAGCCAGAAATCTTTCCATTGAGAGTATATAATCTGATTCAACCAGGCTTAAGCAAAAATGGGATTTTATTGGCTCAGAAACTGCAGACTCCACAGAGCAGTGAGATTTAGATATGGTTGGATTAGATTCATTAGGAGGCAGCACATCACTGTCTGAGTCTGCTTCTGACTGTGTGGCTTCATGTTCTGATCCCACATGGTGGACCGTGCCAGCGCCGGCTTCCTCAGTATCTTTATTGGTAGCAATTTCAGCAGGAAAGAGGAAGACTGTTTTCTAACAGTCCCAGTGAAATTCTGATCCTAACTCTCATTGACCCAAGTGGCCACTGCGAAATTAAATCATTTGTGGTTATGGATATGAAATGAGCTACCCGGCTTAGGCGTAACTGTCACTCTTCTCCAGACATCCGTGCCAAAGTGACTTTAACTCAGCTGGCTTGCACTGCTGCATGGCTGGAAATCTCCTTGCCTAGAAGTCCTGATTCTGTAGCAAGATTCAGGGCAGAGGAAAAGAGGTGTCTGTGAACTTCTTCCCTTCTTTTTTGGGGTGTGGGGCTCTGCCTTTTTCTCACCAGCTTCCCGTAACCCAAGTACTGTCTTCTTTCTCTGCTGGAATCTTGACTGTCCTTTGGGCTCATGGTCAGTGCCACCTCCTTCGGAAGACTTCAGGGTCTTCTCCATCCTCTGTACTTCTCCCTAGGTTAAGGGCCCTCACTATGCTTTGTATTATGTTCCATCTATGTAAGCTAAAGGTTTTTCTTTCGTACTTTCGTACTTGCTTAGATTGGGAGCCCACCACTTCACAGGGAAGCCCACTGCACTTTAGAGCACTTTATCAAAGGTTCTGCAATAGGTCTGTAGTATGTCACTTTCCCCTGCCCTAGCTCCTCGTGTCACTTTCCCCTGCTCTAGCTCCTTATGTCACTTTCCCCTGCCCTAGATCCTCCTGCCCTAGAAGCATGGAAGTAGCCTTCAGGTGTTTTCCTTGGCGAGTTTGGGCTCAGTACAGTACCTTAATGGATGTGAGTTCCTCCTGTATCTTTACTAGCTTCTCGTTCTTTTCAAGAGCTATAGCTCTGGTCGTATGAGTCCTCCAGAGGATGTGTGTTGGAGGCCTGGACCTCAGCCTGTGGCCCTACTGGGAGGTGGTAGAACCTGTGAAGAGTGAGGCCCAGTGGAGTCACTAGGGGTGTGTCCTTGTGGGGACATTGGACCTTGTCTCTCCTTTCTGTCTTCTCCTTCTGTCTCCCTTTTCCCTCCCTCTCTCTCTTTAGTTTCTTGCAGGATCCCTACCCTAAGGTGAACAACTTCGCTCTGCCACGACATGCTGCCTCACTACAAGTCTGAAAGCAGTAGCTCTTCCTGACCGTGGACTGACCTCTGAAACTGTGAGCTGAAGTAAACTTTTCCTCTTTCTGAGTTGATTATCTTAGGCATTTTGTTACAGTAGCAAAAACTGACTAAATCGAAGTCTATACCTAACAATTCTATGTTGAATGAATTACTGATAGTAGCTGCAAAGAAACACAAATAGGACATAACCCATCCATGTTTATTTGGGTGCTAACTAGCTGTAAAACTAGCTTTGTGTTGATTAGTCAGGAGTAAGTGTGCAGAACCACCTCCTTCAGTTGCTCCCCCATTGTCAGCTTCACTTTCTGTGGTTTTAGTTGCCCATGGTCAGCTGTGGTCTGAAAACATTAAATAGAAGATTCCAAAATAAACAGTTCCTAAGTTGTAAACTCTGTGTGCCATTCTGAGTGGTATGATGTCCCTGTGACATTAGGCTGGGCCCTGCCTAGGGCACGTGTCATTCCTTTTTTTTTTTTTTTTTTTTTTTTATTTTAAAGAATAAAAGAAGGATAACATAATAATAGGGGGGACTTAGCAAATTACAGACAAAATGGTAGGAAAGTATCAGTGGTTATCATTTTACATATTATTGTCTACAAAATAGTTTCTCAGGAAAACAAATAGACAAATAATAGTGAGTTAGAGACAAAAGAGGTAGGAGATTATCAAGAGTTGTTGTACTATACTTTGGTATCTTCAAAGTGGCTTCTAAAGAAAATAAATAGAGCTATACATGAGTGACCTACTGAAAAATCATTAACTCTTCTCAATGGTTGTTGTAGGAAACACATAATAATAAACATACATCCATTTATGAAATAGGATAGGAACATTACAAACTTTACACAGTTATGGATAGATTAGTAGGAAAATATCAATGGCTGCTGTAATACGTGGTGGTATCTTCAGAGTGGTTTCTCAGGAAGACAGAGATATGCAAGAGGGACCTATTAAGTAGTTACAGCCTAAGGGTTGTCAAAAATAGCATATTACCTCCTCACCAGTGACTCCTTACGTGTCATTCCTTTGTCCGGCGTATCCAGCCTGACTACACTGCCTGGGTGTTGGCTGCTTAGAAGCTGAATCTGTGAATCTGTTGTCAGATTGACCATTGTGGCATCACAGTGCTTGTTGCCTGTGTTTTACTTAATAATGGCCCCAAAGCAAGTAACGATTCTGGCAGTTCAGGCGTGCCAAAGAGGAGTGGTAAAATACTTCCTTTTAGTGGAACAGGCAAAGTCTCATCCTGATAGGGGAAAAGAGGAAGCAAAACTGCTCACGTTGCTGAGGTTATAGTACAACAACATTTTCTAAGAGGTGACATTTACATGGCTTTGCTTATAATATATTGTTATAACTCTCTAACCTTACATTGTTACCAATTTCTTGCTGTTTCTAACCTATAAATTAAGTCTTATAAGTATTTATATATAAGAAAATACTGGGTTTGGTCTTGATATTTCTCACCCACCAAGGGGCTTTGAATGTATCCCTGTGGTTGAGGTAGGGCTCCTTACCAAGGGACAGCTTAGGCACCAAGCTTGAGGTGGAAATTAAAATTGAAAAGAGACCAAAAAAAAGAAACACTTTTCTGACTATTCATCTCATTACTTTGGGTTAAAGCAGTGAAATCTGCTGTAAAAATCCAAAATGCTCCTTGGGTGTAGTGACACAGGTAGCCAGAGTCATTTGTGAGACGTCCCAGGACGGGTGAGTCTGTCAGGTTGCCTGGACCACGTGTTTTCAGACTTTAAGCCATACTTACTGCTGGCTTTTAATTCAGAACAGGAACATTAACAAAACAACGCAGACAGAATACACTTTCAGATAGGGGTTTGTGTGTGTACATATGTGTTGTCTGTATGAGGTAGATCATGATTTTCTTGGAGTAGTTTCCAAAGCATTTGAAGCCACTGGTTTAAGCCTGTCCATCAAAAAGGCGTATGTCTCTTAGGGCCGTGTCACTGAGGACGTGCTACAGTAGGATAAACAGGGCTCATTTTCCTAAGTGTTAATTATGATAAAAACAAACATAGAAAAATACACAAGTGAAACCCCACCTTACTTCTTTTAACACTGTAATTGCAGGGTAGTACTGCGTAGTAGAAGATAAAGGGAATTCATGTGTTTTAAGGGTAAAGATGCTTGGGTCAAACACAAAGCACTGAAACTACACTCCCTTCAGCTCCTGGACACAGATGCCCTGGCCCCGGCCTTCTTTGCAGTCAGCATTTGTGGGAAGTTCAGGAAGCGTGACCCAGGTTGAAGTGAAGTTTTTATGTTAAATATTTCTCCATGTGCTATTTTAATGCCTCTGTGGATTTTCAGGTTGTATTTTAAAAAATTTTAGTGGTTGCTTATGGGATATATCTTTAGTACCATCTGTTTCAGTTTAGTGTTCACTTAATTCTAGTAAAATGGAGCAGCTTTCCCCCCTATAACTCCCCCTCCCCTCCCCGACGGTTATTTCTGCCATATGAATTATACATACATGCACTTTCAGTTCAGTAGTGCAGCATTGTAAATACTGCTTTTAAAAATCTTATGCTTTAGAAAGGGTTAGACAAGAAGAGAGAACCCTCTCACCCAGCGTCTTCCTGCGCACCATGTCTGGAGCCGGCGCCCCTTCTTGTGGCTCACTGCTGCCCGGAGGCACGTCCCTGCAGCCCGCAGGGTGTGCAGTGCTGCACGCACAGGGCTGCTGGTGCCAGCCTTACGTGGCTTCTGTCCGTCTGGGGGTGTCTTCTGTTTCTCTTTTATTTTGGAAAGTTTTGTTGGCTTTAAGTTAGTCGTTTTTTTCTTTTCCACGTTTTTAATGTTGTTCTTCTGCCTTCTGGCTCCATTGTTTCTGATGAGAAGTCGTCTGGCCTTCATGTTTTAAGTTTCTCTGTTATATTGGGTTATTTTTCTTTCTCGTCTTTTGGCAGTTTGACTATGATGTTTATAGATGTATATTTCTTTGTTTTTACCCTATGTGGGATTTATTGAACTTTTTGGTTTTATAGGTTAGGGTTTTGTAAATCAAGTATGAAAAGTTTTTAGCTGTTACTTACTACATTTTTTTTCTCTGACACTCTTCTTCCCTCTTCTTTCCCCCAACTAAGCTGGCATGCGTGATGCTCTCCCAGCAGTCTTGGAGGCTCTGTTCTTTTTCTCCATTCTTTTTCTTTGTGTTTCTCAGACTGGATTATCTCAATTTATGTTTCTTCAAGTTTACTGATTCTGTCTTTTACCAGTTCAAACCTGGAGTAACTCTAGTGAACTCTAGGAGTAACTCTAGTGAACTTTTCATTTTGGTCATTAAACTTTCAGTTCCAGAACATCTACTTGATGTTTCTTCTTCTTTCTCCTTCTTTATTCCATCACAGTCAAAAGAAATGTTTGAGAAAGGAGCTTTCTGATTTTGAGTGTGGTATGTGGGGGAGATGCATAATATAACTGTAGTAGTAGTGTTACGCGTTTTGGGGTGCTGGGTTCTCATCTGGAGGTGGTTTCCGGGTTTTTTCCATCTGGAACAAAGAATTAAATGAAACAAGAAAAAATGATGACAGAGTTTCACATTTATTTGAGGTAAGAAAAATTAAAAGGAAAGGGTAAGGGAGAAATTGGCTCTGCAGAGCGAACTTGGGTGGAGGAAAAGAGAGGAAAAATAGAAATTTAAAGCAAGTGCAGCCTGGGAGCACAGGGAGGGCCACCGTGAGGAGGTGCAGTAGGGTGCTGTGGATTCCTGGCTCCTCCATTTTACAAACCAGAAAACAGACCCAGGTGCAGTACCTTGCCCATGGTCACGCAGCTCCTGAGTTGCAGCGGGGAAACCAGGCCGTGGGTCTCTTTGGCTGTAGACCACGTTCTGTCCCTGCAGATGGAGTCTGGATCCAGGAGGCCGCACACTGGGGTTGAGGTCCTGGCGCTGCATCCTGGCTCTGGGCTGCGTTTTCCTCTGTCCCTTCTGGGTGCACTGCCTCCTCCTGGCTGGCCTGGTAGCCCTGCACTCAGCCACCTAGAGCTGCACAAACCGAGCCCTGGCTCGGGGCTTTGGGAGCAGAGAGGAGCAGGCACCTCCCTCAGGCATGTGAGGCGTGGCCAACACAGGGTGTGTGCACAGTCACAGCTTGTTATAGAATCGGATCAGAAAAATGGGATTGCCCCACCGCAGCATTCTTAATGATTTCTGTAGAAAATAAAGCATAAAAAAAAAAAAAAAAGAAAATAAAGCATAAAAATGCCATATGAGTGGGGTGTGATGTGAGGCCTGACATCCCAATACTTTGGGAGGCTGAGATAGGAGGATTACAGTTGCAGCCCAGCCTGGCCAGTTTAGCAATTTAGCGAGGTCCTGTCACAGAAACAAAACAACTAGAATAACAAAAATAGCCTGGTGTGGTGGCATACACCTGTAATCCCAGCATTTGGGAGGCTGAGGCAGGAAGATCATTGTGAGTTCGAGAACAGCCTGGGCTACAAAGTGAGCTCAAGGCCAGCCAGAACTGGATAGCAAGTACTGGATAGCATCTCCCCCACATACCACACTCAAAATCAGAAAGCTCCTTTCTCAAACATTTGTCTCAAAAAGACAAAACA